GTCGATGGTGTTTGTAATGGGCATGGTGGAAGCCTGAAACCATAGCGCTCTCAAAGCTACACTGCCAACACCGTCAAAATTGAAGTTCTTACAATTCTCTTATTTCCGTCGATGAGACATCCTTTGCTGACGTCATAGTCCAGCATTCAGCCAATTGTGGTGGGCCGACCACAGCGACGCTTTCGGTCGCTCACGTCGCCAATAGGGTGCGCAGCAGCAAAATACCTTATAGTGGCCGTTTATGTGGCGTCAGTGATGCAGGTCATGTATATGTGACATTAGATATTTTTAAATGGCTAGAGATCCGCGCGTCTGCGCACAAACATGATCATTGAAGAAGTGTATTGATGGCACCATGCACTGCATGCACACGGAGTGATCGTTGTAAAACACAGCATGCATCTGCGCTGATTGAGCACATATGCAGAAAAATTCACTTGGCACATTAGCAGCGCGTTCCACATGTATGCATCACAGACTTCCGGATGGCGTGACCAAAGACGTTGCGGCATCAGCATCTGTGCAGATAGAGCACACGCGGAAAAGTTCAATCGGCACATATATACTGTCCACATGTGCACCACAGAGGTTCAGAGGACGTATACCTAACAAGACGCCCGTATAGTTCCTGCTATAAGTCCGTCTCTTTGAGTACGCCCAACTCGGAGAGAACTTCCGAGTCTATGTTTATCACAGACGATGCTCGCGCTGTGTTCGAGATCGGCACGCTGAGAAGACTCTGCGTGACGCCGGTGTCTCGGTTGGCGACCTTGCGGTGACGTAGCTCGTGGTCGTCGTCTGTGTGCTTTCCGCAGCACGTCAGGGGACCGCAGTTCTTCGCTTGGGAGCATCGCAGGATGCACTGGGAATTGGTGTGTGTAGCCTGCACAGAGACACACGTTTCGATTAAATGTGTCCCTGCAAGTTAGGGTACACCGTACTCCTTTGAGCAGGCGGCAATTCCGCAACTCATTTGTGGGCGCGACTCTGAGGGTTTAATGTCAATGGGAAAACTTAAACTAGGCGTGGTGGAATTGAAAAATGGTTGGGAACTGACTATTTGCAAGAGTAAAGCAAGACGTATATATATATATATATATATATATATATATATATAGGGCGCAAAAAAGATATCGAATATCAAGCCAGCACTGAAGGGCGGACCAAACCAAGCAAATATCCGGCTAGCGTTGAAAACAAGATACAACAAAATATGTGGATAACTATGAATAACTTTTTAGATAAACACAGTTTACTATCTCCTTCTCAGCACGGATTCACACAAGGCCGACGTACTCAAATGCTCCTTGAGGACTTTTCTGACATGCTCAATTTATCTTTTGAACGGAATCAAGTTGCCTGCGCATTGTTCCTTGATGTCCGCAAGGCATTTGACAGTGTTAACCATCACATTTTGTTAAAAAAGCTTTCAAAGTTAGGCTTTCGAGGTTCTTTTCTAAGTTTACTGGAAAAGTTTCTACAGGATAGGCGTCAATGTGTTTCATTTGGAGGGTATCAAAGCAGATTCTTTTTAATCAAATCGGGGTGTCCCCCAGGGCTCGGTTTTAAGTCCACTGTTATATAATCTTTATGTTAATGACCCCTCTATGGTGGTACCAATTTCACTATTTCAATATGCTGACGACACCGTTATTTTATCTAGAGCGGTCAATTATTCGGATGCCTTTTCGTCTTTACAAACTGCGGCAAATAGAACTATGAACTGGTTTGAAGCTAATTTAATTAAAGTTAATGCATCCAAAACGCAGCTAATATGTTTCCACAACCCTTTGAAAAAAGTTAATGTGACCTCCTCTTTACGATTACATACGTCTAGATGTCTATATGTGCATGTGAGCCTATACAGCATACATCTTCTATAAAATATCTTGGCCTATTCTTTGACGGTGACCTAACCTGGAACACTCATCTTGCTCATGTGTGTAAGAAAATTCGTCTAGTGTCTTGTTTGCTATACAACACGAGATATTTTATGCCACTATCCGCTCGAAAAATTGTAGTACATGTTCTTGTTTACAGTGTACTCCGTTACGGTATTACCGTGAATGGTCATTGTGCTCTGCGTTGGCAAATTAGAATTAATTCGATTCTGCGTTCTTTGTTAAAGAACATTTTCTATGATATAACCCTTGGTAAGGACACTGACGTGTTTAAAGCACTGCATTTGCCTGATTTTAACTCGCTATTGATGGAAACTGTTGTTCATAGGCATTTTGGGATAGTCAATTTAAAGCTCCATATGTACCTTCTCGTATTCTTAGACCCAAAGAGCGTTACCGGATACCTCGATGTTCGACAAGATTTGGAAAAAGAGCTCGGAGTTACTGTGTACCAGCATTTATGAACAAACTACCTTCAAGTTCAAGAAAGCCCTGAGAAATTTTAGATTGTAAAGTGCTCTCCAGTTTGCTTTTGTTATTCTGATTTCTTTGTGTGGATTTTATTTTACATGTTTCCTTTTGCAAACGGCATGGTTTCACTGATCTTAAGACGCTGCCAGTCAAGCCCCATGTGGCTTAGGCAGGTCAGACTTAACATACGTTTTGTTCATTTGCAATAAAATTATTATTATTATTATTATTAAAAAAATGTAAAAAATCACGGAAATTATATTTATTTGGTTTAAATAAGATTTTTCTATTTAAATAAGATTTGTATGATACAAATAATATTTATTTGATTTAAATCAGATTTGATTGTATATAAATCATATATATTTTAATCGTATTTATTTTGTCTAATTTAGATTTATTTGGTTTAAATCAGATTAATTAGACTTAAATCACCGTAGCTATAGTCAGTTACAGGTTAAGAAGGTAGCGGCAAATGCCCCTCAAAGGGAATCAGATATCCCTCCGCCACCTCCGCATCCAATAGCGTCCCACCGTTTCCGTGACGTCGCGGCCAACGCGCGAGGAGGGTCTTGCCTTTCTGTACATATTTGCTTTATCTTTCGACTTTGACTTAGCATTGTGGAAGCCACGAGAGGGAGATTAGAGTTCTCCCCCTCCGATGGAAACAAATACGACTTTCGGGGATTAGCTTCCCTCCGATGGATACAAAGGCTGCTTTTTAGGGGCTCGGTTCTTTCTCCGATGAATACAAAGATCGCTTTCTTAAAAAGTGGGATCGGAGACAAGTTGGAATCCATTGAAGCGGAACAAGGAGCGTTTCCAGTGAACTCTTCTTTCGACTGCGGAGGGACTATAAACGGGCGCATCACGCTTGTGGGAGGAGCTTCTCCTACCCTCTTGACTTGTAACCGACAATAGAAAAAAGTTATTTTTTTAAAAACAGCAACAACAATACTGAAACAATAAAAACAAAAGATGAGCACGCGAAAAAAACAAACAAGAGGAGAATAACGAGTTTTTCTATAGGGCTGTTTAAAACAACAATGCCGTGCACAACGGAAAAAAACGTGCACGGCTTTTAAAGGGCACTTAAGACTGCTTATGTGTAGGAATGCCAAAGCATTCCTACACTCAGAACATTACTACAAGCAGCGCGCCCAGTACCACTGCGGAGCGACATGGCTGTAAGCAAAGCGTAGAACACGTGAAAAGCGGTAATTTCCCGCTCCCCTCCCTCCGGGAGGGGAGCGGGAAATTGCCCCCAAAGGGCGCACCCGTCACCCTCTCCCTTTTACTGGTCTACGGGCTGCAGCATCATGGAGAGGACTTCTCTGTGGGGCGGCATTCCTTGGAACCATAACGCATCGGAGCCAATGGGAATTCCTTCCTTGTTTCGCTGCTACAGACATGGGAGAGGCGAATTTAGGTGCCGTTTTTTGTGGCTTCAAAAGCTGATAACGCCGGTTCGTTCCATGGGATGACAGTTAATGCTTCTACATTAAAAATAGTGAACGTTGTGGTGCACCCGTACGTTTTCAGTGAGGACCTGATCCACGCAAACAGCACGGCGTTGCTCCTGGCGTCCTCCTGCCCTCTCCTCCCTTTTCTTTTATTTTTGGGAGGGGTTCGGACATAGCGGAGGCCTTGGCGATAGCCAGCAGTTCGTGCGAGTGACTGTCCGGACCCACGTGATGATCACGCTCTAAGCCTTTATCCAAAGACGCAAATAGAGGACATCCTTCCCCAAACAAAGATGTTTACAAATCTCTGTAAAGCGAAATTAGAGTGCAGCTCGAGGGGAGGGTATGGAGGGGAGGGTAATTCCCTTCTCCTCCGTACCGTCCCCTCGTGACATGGCCACGTGACCTCAACACCAATTCAGTTTCCCCGCTAAATTTAGCGGGGAAAATAACGTCACATGAGCTCAACACCAATTCAGTTTCCACGCTAAATTCAGCGGGGAAAATGACGTCACATCAGTTCGTGTCACATCACCCATGAACAAATTCAGTTTGTACGTTAGATTTAGCGGGAAAATTGACGTCACGTGACATCAACAACAATTCAATTTCCTGCTAAATTTAGCGGGGCGGTTACGCCGACGGCGACATACGCGGAAACGGGCGCCTAAAAACTGCTAAAAAAAACTGCTAAAAGAAAAAAAAAAAAAAAAAAAAGCAGCCGGGAATTAGAAGAAAGGATCCACCTCCGCTCAGTAAATGCCATGAACTGCAGAAAACGTGTCCTGCTTGGGCAACCCATACTTGGGGAGTATGGTTTGCTGGCTCATTACCTGACAGAATTCCGGCTGCACAGTCATGGAACTGATGCCCTGCTCATAAAAGAAGCGGCTGACTTTGTCCGCGATGGCGATGTACACTGCGTGGGATCCGACCACAATGTGCACCGTTGCGATGGCTCGAGTGTTGGTCAGCTGCCACAGGTGAAACTCGTGCACGTTCAGGATGGCCGGAAACTGCAAAGCGGTAAGTCCCGCGACCGGGCTCCAGCAGCGCAAGACATTCCAATGCTATTAGCGGACAGATATCGCCAATCGGCCATCGCATTTACCAAGCTCGTTTTCACTTAGAAATAGTACTTAGAAGACTTGGTTGCCGGAGGAAGAAGCGATGCTTGTGGCGTTTAAAACGCGTGCACATCCTGATAACATAACTATAATATATAATCTAAAATGCACCTACATATATATAATTCCATAAAAGGGGAAAACGAGCCTGGAGCCACTAGTACCGACCGTAACTCATTGTTGCCAGATATCTGAAGCTAAATAGAAAATATCAGAAGATGCGGTTTTGTCAAAATGTTAAAGCAGTCTGCGATATAAGTAAAACGACATCTAAGCTTCCTAACTCCGTACATAAAACTCAAGAAGTCAGCTTTTCTAGTCATATAATGGCGGCGCCCACAATATAGTCGGGGAACCCAGTGCAAATACTCTACAAAATGTAAAAAAAGAAATAGTTTGTTTTCTTTTTATCGCAGAAATAAATTAGTCATCGCCGAACGCTCATCCGCCCAAAGGTATCGCTAGAAGTCACAACCAGATGCCCAAGTTTCAGCCCGAACGGACACCTTATGCAAAAGTTATTAGAGTGTTCCTGAAAATTTAGATGGGAAAATGGAGCCCATTTTTGCCCGTTTTCAGTTTCTAGTGCAATAGAGTTCCATGTATTCGAAAACTCCGTCGGCCAAGATTTTCCCATTGAAATTTTCAGAAAATCACTTATAACTTTTGAATAAGATGTCCGATCGGGCTGAAACTTTGGCATCTGGTTGTGACCTCTAGCGCTACCTTTGGGTAGAGAATGAGCGTTCGGCAATGCCAAATTTATCTTTGCAGTAAAAAAAAAAAAAGAAAACTGTAATTTTTTTTTTTCTTGTGACACCCTATATAAGCGTTGCCGATTTTTGTGGTTCCAGCATGAATAAAACAGAAACAAGCCAAAAACATACATTCTCCTCCCGTCCACCACCCAAAAAACAGCAAGAAAAAAGAAATTCAGAAAGGAAAAGCTAATGTGCACCTTTTCCAGGAGTTTCTTCTGCATCGTGTCGATGTCCATGTTGTTCGGGATGTTTTGCAAGAGAATGAGCCCGGATTCTTTCACTGCGAAAAGGGGAAATGACCCAACAGGTTAGTCCGTTAATGACGTCATGAAGCCTAATCACGCGAAGAAAGACGCGAGATGGACGTTCCAATGATCCTAAGGAAACCTATGCCCTGCTAATGGCGTGGCGGCGGAACCATCGAAGCGCGTTTGCCTAAGCCTTGCACTCCCCTTCTCCCGACCCTCTTCTCTCTTACCCCGTAAACAGAAAAGCCTATGGTTTCACTTGAAAGAGGCCAGCGCAGACTGGGCACGAATGCAGCGTCAAGGCTCGGCTCGAACTCGTGTCCTCACTGATTGGTCGCGAATCCCTGCCGAACGCTAGCTGACGGAGCACTCATCTCCAACCCGAGTCCCGCGTTGGCTTCTTCCAGGTGAAGCCGAGAATCCAGAGTTGCAAAAGAGATTAGTTGCAACGTTGTTGTTTTTAAGTTTTGTTTTAATAGGTTAATTAGAGTATAAGACTTTCCCCCCGTTGGTTTACTCCACGGAGATTTCCCAATACCCGTCCTGGACATCGCCGCAACACCGGATTTGGTCGCGACTTCACTTTAACCTTACTCCTCGGGTAAGAGGTGCAGATGAGGATGGCCACGGCGACGACCGCCAGCACGGGATCCACGTAGCGGGGAAGCAGCCCGCTGCCGAAGTGAACTGCGCAGGCGCAGCCGACCACCATCAGGCATCCGCCACAGGTGCGCACAGCCTCGAGCAAGCACTCGCGCCACCCTGCAGCAGATCGTCGAGCAATCAAAGCGTCGCGTTTACTGCGATCTGATTGGTATACGAGTCATCTTGGAGAAGCGATTGGATTGTTTCACGGGGAACAAAAATACGTTTTTTTTTTAATACTATTTTGTTAAAAATATGTAGTGGGTGACACGAGGCGAGAAACGTCTTATCCTTGTACTCGGCATCAAACCGAAACTAAACCGGCAAAGTGCGCCCGTGACGTCGATATTTCCGATCTGCGCTTGAGTCGCACGGCTGACGTCACCTGCGGCGCGGACCCATGGGTTGCGGAGTCGGCGCAGGGCGAAGTAATCGGCGTTACGAGCGATCTGTCAAGGCGATTCTTTCTAACGCGATAGAGTTCAGGACCTCGTGTCGCAGAAAATCTGGCGTCGGCGTCGGTGGGACCAAGAAATCCCATAATGCAGCGCGCGCAGTCACGCGTGTCACACGTGGCTGCGCGTTGCATTAGATTAACCGCTGAGTTAGGCGGGAAAATTTTCCCGTCAAATTTAGCGGAAATTTTCCTCCAAATTTAGAGAGTCGATAGGGTCATGGCGTCGCAGTAACGTGTTGTGACACGTGACGCTACGGATTAGAACACGCACACACGCTTGCACGGCTTGGCAACGAGCACGTGTTTATATGCACCAGCCACTTTGGAAACACATTTTGACTGGTGAATGACACATGCGAATGGTAATGTTAGGTGTGGAGTCAAATGTACACCAAATAGAATAATGTGATAACAGAATATTTCTGAATGCCAAATATACCTATCGCTAAATTACCCAGGCAACATTCTCCTTGATGATTGGGTAATTTAGCAGGGTCTATTGAATGGCTCGTTGTTTTATTCAAATAAGAAACTTGATTCTGTCGTTTAATTTTTTTATTATTATATATTTAACATGGTACCAAAAGTGAGGTCAAGGCATATCGGTACACATTTTAAGTTAAGAGCATGCTGAGGTATTAAAAATGCCCATGAAGAAAATCATACATAGTTGCACTATTTACAGCACTCGTAGACAGGCAGCTTTATTCGTCGATACATCGAACAAAATGCTTACCAATAGCATTTTGCATGCAGACACAGTTCTATGATAATGCAAAATTAGCACAAAAATAATATTTTTTTTTCTTTTAAGATTACAGCTGGAATAAAGGTTTTCCCATGCTTTCCTCCAACTGATGACGGCCTAGATAGAGGTAACAAGTAAAAGATGTATCTGACATAAAAATTAAACCTATATAAAAAAATTACGCCTATAAAAATTAGATCGAGAGAATTCGGAAATCATCTCGCTGCATCTAATATCATTCCTTAAATGTTTAATTCGAAAATAAAGATCACGAGCGACGCAGACAGCTTGTCAAGACATCGCAACCTAATCTATTTTTACCTAATACCTGCATTCCAATCCTCAAAATTATGGTACAGTCAGTCGTCACTCTACCACATTATTTATCGAGTCTCCCCGACGCGCGCCCGTGTCCACTGTTCCGTTTGAGTTTGTTTTCCCCTCAACGTGCGGCTGGACTGCAGTGAAGCGAGATGCGCGGAATCGCGCGCGGTGTTCACTTTGCGGCAGTCGCTTCTCCGCAATGCAGCATTACCCGGCGAGAAGCGCACTCAACAAAGCTAATCTATTACATCATCAAGGCTCTGCATAGCATCCATCGTGCTACAGCCCCCGCTGCTGCGAGAGCACGCGGCTTCGTCCGGCGTCTTATTGGCATGCGCTCGCACAACTAGAGCTTCGAGAGAGTGAACACAACGAAGTCGACGCCGACTATGCGTCGAGAAACTATAGTAGATCAGGAGACGAGAGGGGACGTCGGAACGCCGAGCTTTGATTGGAATAATTAGGGGGTAGACCTAAGGCTATACTGCGTTCACCCTAGAAGCGAATGTGAAAGCCAAACGCTATAGACGCCGGCGTTCCGCGTTCTAACGCGTTCGACGAGTGTAAGTGAGAAAAAGGCGGCAATCTTTAGGTTTTGTTTATTTTGTTTTGTTTGTTTATTTGGACATTTTGACAATACAGAGATTGCCGTGAAGCTGGGGCAAAAAGGCGACAATCAACTTCGCCTGACTATATAGGCCCCTAGTACCAGGCTACACTCACTACACATACAGCAGGCAAACATACAGCAAAACAACAGAATACCCACTAGTCATTTCAACCAGAGCTCAGCGTTCCGACTCCCCCGTGCACTCTTGTCCCGATCCTCTCCTTTACTTTCTAGGTGAATAGGTTAAAATAAGAGACATCGATCAACGAATAATATTCCGAACTTTGCGACAACTTTCAGTTTTTGAACGAATATCTAACCGAAGAGCACATTATTCGACTCAATTATTGAACAAACAAGGGAGAAGGCAGAGGCGAGCTGGAGAAATTTCGACATCTTGAACATCCGGGCCAAGACTCCGCGGCGCGTAAGTTCGTCTGCTTCTTGCACGGGTGTTGCCATGATGCCTAAATGCCACGCTCTTATTGGCTAGCTAAAAAAAATAGTGGGTAGACCTCGAGGCATCTAGCATTCAAGTCTACCCACTATCTTTTCAATCGAAGCCAATCGGAGCTCGGCGTCGTTCTGACGTCACCGCAAATCCTGGGCGAGAAGCAGACGACTTGCTCTCCCCAAACGAACAAAAAGTCCACTTGTTGTTCCGAATATCGGGAGTTCAAGATATTGCCAATAATTGAAACTTATCTAATTTGATTGCACTCTTTTTATTACCACCTTACCCGCACCCTACCCACCATTAAAATAATTATATATTCATTCGCACGACGTCATTCCTGATTCTTCTACGGTTAACAGGCAGCAATTTTAAGTATAATTTTTTTTTTTAATGCAAAACGGGCATCAATATTTGGACTAAGGGCTCCTAAACCTCGAGCGTACCGAATTCGTCACCGGACAGAGCAACCAGAAGTAACCGAGTTTTATGTGTACCTCCTGACACCGGGTGGGCGATGGTGGCGGCCTGCTGCGGCAACAGCGCCTCCAGCTGCTTGGGAGTGACGTCGTCGGGGTGCACTTGGCAGGGCAGCGGAGACTCGTCCCCGGAACTCGAGTCTCCGCCGACCACGAAGTTGAACTGGACGTCGGTACCGCTCACGATGCCCAGGTTGCAACCGCGCCGGCTTTTCGACCCTGAGACACCGAAGAACGTGCGTTGTTGCACTTCAACAGGTGGCACGCCGCGCGCCTACCCACCAAATAACCCATTTACGAAAAAAAAAAATTAAAAGGCTGCGCGCAATCAATCAGTCAATCAATAGGACATACCGGCTCCTGTAACGTTATTTGTTACCACTTGGGGACCAGCTTTTGATGCAGGATAGAACGGTAAACAGACAGGTCTAAAGCGCCGTTCAGACCGGTTTTTAAGCCTCTTGCGACGTTTTAGGACCAGCTCCGCTGCAGCGCATCCGGTTTTAAGACGTCGCAAGAGGCTTAAAAACCGCTCTGGTCTCTCTGGGTCTTACTCGGTTGCATGTGTGTGAACGGGCCTTAAGACGCGTTCCGGGCCACGTGGTGGGGACAGTCGGTGGCGTCACTGACCTCCGATGACGAGGTAGCAGACGATGTCGACGGAGAGCCCGATGATGCCGAAGCAGAGCAGCAGCATCGGGTAGTGCGGCTCGGTGTTCTCGTGTGACGCGTGCACGATGGTCTGCACGGCCGCCACCGAGATGGCGAAGCACAGGGCCATCAAGAACAGCATGTTCACCAGGGTTCCGAGCACCTCGACGCGCGCCCAGCCGAACGTGTTCTTCAGCGTCCGCTCTTGGCATATCTGCGCAGCAGACCATCACGACAAACTGCACGTTACACACCCGGTGTGCAAGCTTTTTGTTGGTTCGCCAAGCTCAACGAGGAAGAGGCGAAGGTGTATCGCCACTGCTCAGAGGTTCAATTGTAACTTTGGCTTAAAATAAAAAAAAAAAATAAATAAAAATAAAAAAAATTAATATTAATGGCAGGATATTGTTCTTCCGGAAGCGGACTCCACTCGCTCAAACAAGTGCTTCGCAGCTTGTTTGAAGAAAACGTTAGTAAGAAAAACAGTCAGTACGATAACGATACTCTGCCGCTGTCTTAGAATGATTCCGAATGATTCCGCCTTGAGGATACATGATGCGGTTCCAGAAGGTAAAGACCTCCTTCAATACCTGTCTCCCCGTAACATATATTATGAAGAAAAAAAATTACCGCGAACACTTTTTTTGAAATTTAAGAGGGTCCCAACCCAGTCTTCTCTTCATTTCTGTGCAACTTGAGTACGGGCGATAATCACCTCTGATAAACCTTAATGCCTGATTTTGAATTCCCTCTAACTCATTTGTAAGGTAACATTGAGGCGGATCCGAGATAAGGCAGGCATATTTTAAGATTGGCCTGATAAAAGAAAAATATAATGTTTGTCTTACACTGAGAGGTGTATTCTTAGAATTCCTCCAAATAAAATTTAACATCTTACTTGCCTTCGCTACAGTATTATCTACATGGTCATTCCATTTTAAATTGTTCGAAAGATACACTCCAAGAGGCTTATATTTATCTACCCGTTCAATTTCGTATATATTTTTTTTTTAATTTATATGTAGACGGGCTAACAATTAATCGAGTAAAACACATGATTTGCACTTTTTTATATTCAATCCCATTTCCCAACGACCCCCACCAACGCTCTAACATTCCTAAATCTCTTTGCATCATAAGGCGTCTGCATCATTTTCAATGATGCAGACGCAATCAACCGTAAATTATTTAATATCTAACTGTACGCTTTCACAAATATCGTTAATAAATCTAAAAAAAACAATAGGGGTCCTAGTACGCTTCTCTGAGGCACCCCCGAAGTTACAAACACAGGTGAAGATTTCTGGCAATTTGGTACAACACTCTGTTCTCGACCAGACGAATAGTCGCCAACCCAATATATAATATTTCCATTCATTCCGATTAATGTAAGCTTATGCAGTAACAAGTGATGCGGCAGGGTGTCAAACACTTCACAAAAGTCTAGAAACATACAATGTACAGGTTTTTTGTTGTCGATGGCATCTGAAAGAAAATGGGTAAACGGCCTGCATTTTAAGGTTACGATGATAATGCAATTAATGCAAAGGTGCAAGCGAGCTGTACAAGAATGACGATAATAATCCCTGGAGGAGGTAACAAGGGGTACAAAGGACAAAACACAAATGCAGGGTGTTCAGTCTAGTTGGTGTTAGATTGGTGGAAGCTGGTCAAACCCGTTTGCTCTACTGACGTCACACTCCTGGTTAGCTCAGTTGGTAAAGCGTTCCACTGGAAATTGAGGGGTCCCTCCCAAGTAGCACAATTCACCGGTTCAAGCCTGCTTGGGCAGCCGGGGAAAGTTTCCCCGGCCCAAGCACCAGTCACCTAGCTGTGTTTGGGGATTTGTGTTTGTCCTTTGTCCCCCTTGTTCCCCATCTCCAGGTAATATTATCGTCATTATTGTTTAGCTGGCCCGCACCTTTGCATTAATTGCATAATCATCGGAGAGAGACAATAACTTATCGCCACGCCGTGACGGAGCGTGGCCCGCATTTATCGCAGAGTTTATCTGTAAATCTGAACAAAGAAACGAAGCAAAGTTATCAGATTGACGGTGACTAAAGCGCATGAAAAAAAGAGCCACGATAAAGAACAAGCGAATGACTCACAGCATGCACTAGCCCTAGGACATTCGTCTTTTGTTACGGATCCACAGTGTTTGAATTTCATAGAAACAAAACAACATGAAAGCTACACTATTGCGGTTTCTGCAAGTGAGTTATATGGTCAAAGGCACATAATATTAGGGGCAAATAGGGACGATAAGTTGAATAATTAACTAAAACTTGCTAATTAACTTTTTAATTTGTAAAAATAGGCACATATGGCTCCAATCAAAAATTCGCAGAGAGACATCAAAAATCACTAAATCAGTAATTTTTATAGAGACTTTGAGCGCGTGGGAAGCGTAGTAATGCCCCTCCTGCACCGGGCACGCGGCTAGGGTGAAAAGATGCGAACGATAAGATAGGGAAAAACCGCGTAGGCGCGTTTTGCCACCCGGTACTGTAGCTTGCTCCTGCTGCATGAGTGGTAACTTTAGCGCTCCACCGTGCACCCCACGTACTCCTAGTATTTCTGACATTGACTGATTAAAGCGTGAAACATATGTGAGCGAGTGATTTTTTTTTTTTTAGGGGCCCAATTAGCCCCCATAGAGTTTGCAAAAAAAAGCTCTCTGGCCGCCGCCATTTTGCGACTCGGCGACCCCTCGCTATCAGCCAGAAAATTCTGCCACCCGCCTGAGCCGTGGAAACCCCATATCCATTGTGCATTCGGAGTTCGCCGGCTTTTCTTTAAAGTTTTTTTTACTTTATTTGCCTGTTCATTGTGCTTATTTATTTGTGTTCTCTTTCACTCGTAGCCAGCTCGGCCTTCGCAAAAAAAGAAACGTCGAACGGCCCGCGACGCGGACCGTTCGACGTTTCTTTTTTTTTTTTTTTTTTTTTTGACGTTCTTCGAGGGTTATTTCCGCTGAGATAATCTCCGAAAAGCCTTCCCGGCTATGTTCCCGGTTTCCGCGAGAAATAGCGGATAGTGTCGGGTCCGTTGTATGAAGACAGAATAGACACGTTCGTTCATTTGCTTTAATGCTGTGCAAAAAAAAAAAAAAAAAAAACAGCTTTTCAAAACGTGCCCCCAAAACAAGCCGGATTCCGTCCGATCGTCGTGAGGTGACCATCGTCGAGTCGTCGACGCTGTATCTTTGGATCTTCTGTGTTATTTGAGACCTTTCTCAAATCCTGTTTGGGTGGACAACGCGGAACCGTGGGGTACGTGCAATATGTTGTTCGATTCAGAGACTCGTTGAATTTCATGTGAGCGGGGAAATAGCCAGTGTAGGACAAAATACTCGAGAAACTTATTTAAGTTAAGATACTAAATACCTGCTTCATAAAGTATTTAAAATTCTACTCAAGTTACTTTCACTGTAAAGTATCTTGAGTAGAGTACAAATACTTAGAAATGTAATTAAATTACTTTTAAAGATTATTCAGCATTGCGTAATTTGTATCGACGTCAGTGACAAACGCAATTATACAGTTGCGCAAATCTGGTTTACCAGAATGGTATATTTAAAAAAAATACAAAAAAAACAACATCGGAGGGTTATTCCACGCAGCCCAACTATAAGGAGTGGGATATCCCTGATACATGTTACAAAACATTTCTGAGACAAAAAATAACATAAAAAGAGGTCGCTTCAGCTATAGTGACCTCGCTGAATATTACGTCCTGCGGCGCACTTGAGACGCATCGTTTAACTAGCATCCATATTTTTTATGTGGAGAGTTCACTATAAACAAACTTGGGATACGGAAGTGAGTGAATGGATAACAAGGAGAGCACACATAATAGCTAAGGCACTGGTCGCACCAAGGCAATCAACATTGGGGGACGCTTTGTTGGCATCTTGAGAGGTCATCCTGCTCGAAGTTCGTTTCCTGCCCTGTTCTCTGCTTATCAATGTGCGCTTACAAACAGTGTTCCCGAACTGACAACAAAAAAAGAAGAAAAAAACAAAAAACGACGTTTTTCCGTAGCGAGGTTAAATATACAAGGAAAAAAAAAAGTCTTTTTGTGTTTACTTCTCTTTTCTCTATATTCTTTTTAACACTGAAGTCCGCATTTTTGACGTGGGTCGTTTCCCGTTCTACATTGCGCCTGTCTTTACTTCCGTAAAACCGCCCCTTTTGTTTGAGAATTTTTCGGGGAAACTAGGAAACAAAAGGTGCCTTTGGGAAGGCGAAGGAAAAACCTTGATTGTACGAACTTGGGGTGAAACATGAGCTACAATCGGCACAAAAGTGATGTTTTCACGAGCTCGATCAAAGTCACCGTTGCTTATCGGAACTAGCAACAGCATTTAGTTGCTCGAAAGTTCACGTTTGCTCGTGCCACGCCCACGTCACTTCACACCGAAAAACTTGTAAAATGGCGGAATGTAAAATTTATTTTAGATAATGAGTAAAAGATACTCAGAAATGTAATTAAAATACAGTACTAAATACTCTCGATCAAAAGTATATCCAATATACCAAGATACTTCAAAAAGTATTTGAAATACAGCATCTTGAGTAGAGTATTTGAGATAGGCACAAGCCTGGGAAATACCTATGCATTTCGGCTTTCCTATGTGGATTGACACGGCCGAGTGTATGGTGCCTGTAGGAGTCGCTTGAGTATTTAATCGTTTCCTGGAAACTGAGGTAATCGACCTTCAACCGTTCGGATGGGGGCAGCCCGACGGCTCGCGCCAAGGATAGGGGAATGAGCGGCTTGAGCCCTTTTTAATCTTTGGCCCGGGAAGGAGACAGACATTCTTGCCTATCGTCGCGAGGTAGTGGCGACTTTGTCGTCACGGCGGGTTTCAGTGACGGCTTGTGCAGTCGGGGGACTGCTGCAATAAGGTTTTAGCGACGAGGGGCGCCGGTCTGGGTCCACCTGGACTCCATTACGCTTTACTCGCTAACTTCGAAGGACACGGCGCCAATTTGTTTTGACGCGGCGGAGTGGAAGGTGTTTTCCCCGTAAAGTAGTAAAGTATCGCCCCGATTGGAGAGTTCCCCCAGGGGTCTAGCATTGTTTCTCTTCTTAAAAAAAGGAAATAACGAGTTCGGTGGCCTTTCTGTGATTGGTGGAGGACCCGCTGGCACTGGGACCAATAGAATTGTATAATCGTCCTGATTGGACAGGCCCTGTGTCAGCGGGGAGTTTTCTCGTCCGCACTGGTGAGGAAACGTTGAGTTTGGACAAGCCCGTGCGCGGAGCAAGTTATCTCCCGCGGTCCGCCGGTCCGCGTAGCTTTGTCGCGAGCGACGAGCAGTTTCTTTGAGCCTCACCGTGCGCGGTGGGCATTTTGCGCCGAGGCGCGGTTTTTTTGGTCTTTTTACTGAAGTGAGTGGACAGTAGAGTCCTGTAACCAAGCTTGCTGTTGACGTTTCAATATATTTGTTTTTATCAATCGTTGCTCTCGATTTTGAGCGTCTTTCTTCGAGGCTCCGCCACCACCAACAAGCACCGAAGCGACCATCCGGCGCGGCAGTCCACGATCACCCGGCCCTGACCTACGACTTCTAGGAAGGACCGGGACAAAACAACCTGGTGACCCTCAGGGAGGGGCGCATTCTTTACTGGCGCAGTCGACAGGATCGTGGACATTGTCAACCGCCTGGAAAGGTTCCAGACGCCTGGGTTGGTGCGGAAAGTGGTGGTGTCAATCGGAAGGAGCCCAGGACCAGCCGAGACAACGAGGAGCGGTCCACAAGCAGCCTGGTACAGCGAGGCACGGCTACGAGTACGCCTGTGTCCGACAGCGGTGAAAGCCAAGAAGCGGACGTCGCGTGGGGCGATCGGCGCCACTGACCTGCGGGTTTGGCGGCGTCGACGACTACCTTTGGCCTGGGGCCTGCGACGGCGGTGAACGAAAATCAAGCAAGCGGACGTCGCGTGGGGCGATCGGCGCCGCTGACCTGCGGGTTCGGCGCGGCATCGACGACTACCGTGGGCCTGGGGCCTTCAACGGCGACAAAAGATTCAAGCCGGCGGACGTCAGCGGCTGCAATCAACGCCAGTGGCCTGCGGGTTTGGCGACATCCGATGCGACTGCGCGGACTCAACAGCACCGCCAGGTAAGTGGTCGTTTTCCCTTCCGTCGCCGGCTGACACCCGCGCACTTAGTTGCATGGCGAGGTATAACTGGCCCATTGGGGAGAGCCTCAGTGACGGAGACGACGAATGGTCGGATGGGGAAGCGATTCCGCTGAGCGTTCAGATAGCCCTCGTGAGGAAAAGAACGAAGGAGCTAGAGCTGGAGATACGACTCGCGGAGCTCCGGGCGGAGGAGCGGAGAGCAAGAGCTCGGCTTCTGGAGGGGCACAGTGAAGAGTCGCAGATTAATGCAGCGGAGGGCGCGGAGCCCGAGGCTCACTGCGTGAGCGAAACAGAACCGGACGCACGGGGCGACCCGGAGACTGCCATGGGGTCCGAGGCCGATTGTGCCGTACAAAAGCCGGTGACTGCCATGGAGTCCGAGGGTGATCGTGCTGTGCAGAAGCCGGGGACCGCCGCGGGGTCCGAGGCGGGTCGCGCTGTCCTGGGCCCGGACACTGCCTTAGCGTCCGAGGCCGATCTTGCCGTTCAGAAACCGGGGACTGCCGTGGGGTCAGAGGCCGGTCGCGCTGCTCAGGAGCCGGACACTGCCGTGAGGTCCGAGGTCGGTAGCGCTGTCAGGGAGCCAGAGGCTGTCGTGGAGTCCGAGGGCGGTCGCGCTGTCCAGAACCCGGACACTACCGTGGAGTCCAAGGTCGATCGTGCCGTGCAGGAACCAGACACTGCCGTAACGATCAAGGCCGATCGGGCCGCGCGCGAACGAGGGTTCTCCTGCGTCCAGGCAGCTGGACGGGAGGAGCTCCCGGAGAACCAGGGGTCGGATCTGGCGCTGGGGAGACTAGCGAATGCCGAGGTCGCGAGGGGGGCTGCCGCAGTTGCTCCTATCGCTCAGATTGGACTTCGGTGTCCCCACGACAGGTCTAGTGGGGACGGTGTGACACGGCAGGTGCCACCAGGTGGGCGGCGCGGAGAGGCGCCGGTGCAGGCGCACGAATCGCCGTGGGGCGACTACCTCGGAGCTAGGAAGGAGATTGCGCGCCAGGGGGGCAGAGCTGGTTTAGACCAAAGTGACCGCGAAGCGAGCGCCAAGCACACTTCCGCGTCGAGACCGAGCCGGGCACGCCTTCGAGGGCCTAGAGGAATCTTTGGCGAGCATCACGACCCTCGCGGCACCCGACACAGCTGCTCGAGTATGGGGCGCGTGTATGCTAGCAGGGAAGCGTTTTCTTTCGCCTATGCACGTGGTGTCAGCGGGCGTGCATGTGGGAACGCGATCACTGCCACGGCAATGTGAACATTTGCATGGAAACATTTTGCGGAACAATACTGTGACACATGTTTTGGCCTGTTGCTTGGTTTCTATTGGGATCCGGGAGTGTCCTATGTGATGTTGTTTTTGCTTTTTTGTTTGTTTGTTTGTCTCGTGGAAGCTGCTGGTTGCGACCGGTCAGCTGTTGTGTTTCGCAGAGATTCGTGCTGCGTCGCATATCCTTTGTGAACGTTTTTTTTTTGTGTAATCCTTTTTGCGCGTTTGTTTTCGGCGCAAGTGGGACGGCTTTACAAAAGAACGATGATGCTCGGGTTTATTTTTAGCGTACATGTTTTGTGGTTGTTCTGTTGCCGTCGTTTTGCGTACGGGGTTTTGCATGAGTTGAAGCATTTTTCTTTTTATCTTTCTTTTAATAGTGTCGCGACTGTTCTGTTATAATAACTGCTGGCCAGTCCAGAAGTCCTGGCACAGTTTTCAGGGTGGGCGTGTAGGAGTCGCTTGAGTATTTAATCGTTTCCTGGAAACTGAGGTAATCGACCTTCAACCGTTCGGATGGGGGCAGCCCGACGGCTCGCGCCAAGGATAGGGGAATGAGCGGCTTGAGCCCTTTTTAATCTTTGGCCCGGGAAGGAGACAGACATTCTTGCCTATCGTCGCGAGGTAGTGGCGACTTTGTCGTCACGGCGGGTTTCAGTGACGGCTTGTGCAGTCGGGGGACTGCTGCAATAAGGTTTTAGCGACGAGGGGCGCCGGTCTGGGTCCACCTGGACTCCATTACGCTTTACTCGCTAACTTCGAAGGACACGGCGCCAATTTGTTTTGACGCGGCGGAGTGGAAGGTGTTTTCCCCGTAAAGTAGTAAAGTATCGCCCCGATTGGAGAGTTCCCCCAGGGGTCTAGCATTGTTTCTCTTCTTAAAAAAAGGAAATAACGAGTTCGGTGGCCTTTCTGTGATTGGTGGAGGACCCGCTGGCACTGGGACCAATAGAATTGTATAATCGTCCTGATTGGACAGGCCCTGTGTCAGCGGGGAGTTTTCTCGTCCGCACTGGTGAGGAAACGTTGAGTTTGGACAAGCCCGTGCGCGGAGCAAGTTATCTCCCGCGGTCCGCCGGTCCGCGTAGCTTTGTCGCGAGCGACGAGCAGTTTCTTTGAGCCTCACCGTGCGCGGTGGGCATTTTGCGCCGAGGCGCGGTTTTTTTGGTCTTTTTACTGAAGTGAGTGGACAGTAGAGTCCTGTAACCAAGCTTGCTGTTGACGTTTCAATATATTTGTTTTTATCAATCGTTGCTCTCGACTTTGAGCGTGTTTCTTCGAGGCTCCGCCACCACCAACGAGCAAGAAGCGACCATCCTTCGCGGCTGCCCACGATCGCCCGGCCCTGACCTACGACTTCTAGGAAGGACCGGGACAAAACAACCTGGTGACCCTCAGGGAGGGACACATTCTTTACTGTGCCTTAAACAAAAATCAACATAAAATGAAACAAACATTCTAGTTGCCTTTGTGTGGCGCGCGGACTCACCAAAAATGGCTTAAGTTTGTTTTTGTTCCCAAAAATACACAAAAGAAAAAAAAAAAGAAAACTCGGCAATTTAGCCGCCACCAGTGTCCGGAACTGCACTTACGCAGCTGCCGCAGCCCACTGACGAGAAAACCCACAGCCCAGCGCAGTCGGGCAACACTGACGTATGTACACTCTCAACACCAGGGACGCGCGCTGTAAATCGGGTAAATCGCTTCGTTCGAGACTACCGCTGGAAAGAACGACGTCCCCCTGGCCATATAACTCATTTTCGCAAACCGCATTAGTGTAGCTTTGCCGTTATATTGTTTTTTAACAAATCTGTTGAGTTTAAAAAGAAACATCCAAACATCATATTATTCTTCCTTAGCCAATGAGGAGGAAAAAAACGGGAGCATTGTCGCGCTTTTTGTTTCGGGGGTCACTCACGTGGTAGCTGATGACGAGGAGCACGAGCGCGAGCACGTTGTACAGCATCTGGTACGAGTAGATGAGCAGCACGAGGGAGTGCGTCACGTGCGACGCGATGATCTCGGCCACGAAGAAAAGGCCGGAAAGCGCCAGCGCCGCGTACAGCTTGGCGCAGCCGTCGGACTCCATGATGGACGTCTTCTTGGCGGACACCGACGGCCGTGGCTCCGACGGCTGCACACGGACCCAAAGCAAAGAGACATTATCGCTCTCGCTTTATCCGGAACCACTTGAGTGTGCCCCACGCACGCATCTTCTACTCGAATATATCTCTTCGATCGTCGCGCTGTGGCCGAGTCAGCCGCGGAAGAGCACACTCCGTACGTTCGTGCGAAGATTGTGTTTTGATGTGGCAACGAGATAAAAGCAATGGCTCGCACGTGACGTCACTGCATCGTGCTGGTGGTTTTTCGTACTTGTTATTCCCGAGAAAAAACTAATTCGATGATGCGACAAACTGCGTGCTGCAAAATGTGCGCACTTAGCCTAAAGGGCACCACAGGGGCAGCAGATGCACACGCACGGCCTCCAGTACGCGCTCCACGCCTTCCGCCGTGCTTTGGGCATGGGCGCGCTCGAGGTGCACGAGACGCCGAAGCACTGGCGAAGGTATAGACGCTGTGCTGGAGGTGAGACAGCTGAAGCTCCTCTCTGCCAGTAGCTACAAGTCAGTAAATGAGCTACGCTTAGAGTATTGGCAGTCTGTTCCCGATATTGTTGCGGGTGCCGCCATCTTGGTGCTTGTGCAGAGCAGATGCAGCTACCGATCGTCATTATTCAAAAGTGCGACTTCTTTAGCATTACATTCCGCGTTAGAAAACTCATGCAATATAGCTTTGCTCTGTCACGAACTATTTAAACATTCGTGGAGGACGGAAAAGCGTTTCCTGTGATTTCAGATAAATCTTCAGATAATTGGCAACCATGATTTGAAGCCACAAGACGGATAAGTGTCGTTACTCTGCAGCGTAGCTTATTTAGTGGCACTATCAGTAACTATAGACGACAGCAAGCATATGGGGGCCGGACTGGTACCCCATGGGGGCAAGCACGTGCAGCGTGCGCGTGAACATAGCTCTGGCAAGCTTCCAATAAGGAGTATTCACTGGGCGCCATATTTGTGGGTGCTGTTTAGAGCGCATGCTCAGAACGAGCCCCCATTAATAGGCTGCTAAGACCGGCCATTTTGACGGTGTAGAATGCACGTTGCCAAAGAACCCTGGAAGCTAGCCTTCAGCACGCGCTCAGCGGTCGCGCACACAGCTATGGCCGCCAGTGAATACTTCCTATAGACCCTTTTCAAAAGTCCGCGCCATCGCCTGTCCGCCAATGCTTGCTCACCAACTCCGAGCGTCTATTGGACACGAGTGTGACGTCAGCGTTCGGCGAGGACTCGGATCCAATCACGGGCTTAATGTCCAAGCAATGACGACCGCCGAGGTTGCTTGATGGACTTTTGAAAAGGGTCTACTGCACGGGCTTGGCCGCACGAGAAGAAACATGACGGACGTCACAACTTTTTTTTTTTTTTTGCGTCTGTTCTTTAATAAAATTTCACGTTTCAGTTTTTTACTGCCCTTCTGTCGTCGATATAACTCAGTCGACACGAGAGCAGCTGCAAATGAGTTCACTCTGAGTCATTTGATAGCGAATGTTATTTTGAGGAAACGTCATCAAATGTCCACGTGTACCAGCGCACAAACGACATTAGGGGCAACTCTCATTCCCTGCAAATGTCATTCATTTTCCCGTGTAACGTAGGTAAAAGTGGCAAGAACTCAGAAATAGTACTTAAAAAGAGCCCGAGAGAGCTCAGTAACTCAGTCGCCATGAAAGAAAAAACAAATATATCGCAATTTAACTGCATGGCATCATCTATGGCAATTTAACCACGTGGCATCTCTATCGCAATTTAGATGCACGGCATCTGCGCATCTTCGATCTATTCCAATTTTCACGGGAACTTCTGAGCGGCACCTTCTATTGCCATTTAACTGCATGACATCTTTTTCTTTGCAATTTAAGACATCCTCTATTTCAATTTACCTGCACCCAGTGTGTCGAACCGAAAAAAATACGGGTTCGGTTACGGTTTAGGTTCAGGTAAATTTATTTTGTTCCGGTTCAGTTCCGGTTCGATTAATTCGATCCGCGAACCGGTTCGCGAACCGGTTCGGGGCGTTGAACCGGTTCGGGGCGTTGAACCGGTTCGCGAACCGGTTCGGAAATTATAAATGAGAAATTGCAACATCAAAATAAATTACAAATAAAACATCTGAAATCAGCACATACGAAACGGGATACATCGTAGTGTAAGGCTCAGGTATTTCTACCAGGATTGGTTTCTTTATGTGCACTCAAAGGTTACCTCACCGACGTTTACGCATTCGGACTTCATCTATTTGGGTCCGACGCAGTAGCTGTAAAATCCGCGATCTCCTTACAAACGCACTTACAAGTAGAACTCGCTAACTATCCCGCCACCTCGGCGTGTAAGTAATTGAAGGAACAGTGGGGAGAAAATACAGCTTTCTTTTTTTAGCCTTCGGTAACTCAAATTAGACCCTTAAAGAAGTTTTCATTAAACAAGATACGGAATATGAAAAACACTTCACCGAAGGCAACGCCAGAAGGACGTAATAGGATAAATATTAAAACAGAAGAGTTCGCTGTCTCACAAATATGTTAGCTTCTAAGTGCCTATACGAAACCGGATGCATCATTATCAAACTCCACAGCTTTTTCTTTTCTCATTCCGATGGAAGCAAGCTTCAAGAACTCGCGCGTTCTAGAAACGTGTTATGAAATGAGCACACAGCAGCATTTAGGGTTTACGAGATTCTAAAAAAATAAAATCCCGTGACGCGATTTTTTTTTTTTTTTTTTTTTGCACAGCCTTTTAATTCTTTTTCTTCCGTGCAAGCGGCGACCAGCGCAATACTGGTTCCTATGTCAAGATTCATGGATGCAGCGTTTGTCAAGATTCATGGATGCAGCGTCTATATTCCTAAGACTGAGTGGAGAAGAAAAATATGTAAGCGAGGTGTGTGAGAGTTGACGGCACTTAAAAAACAAATGGCATTGATAGCACATTCATTGTCAACAGCGCGTGGCCGAACCGTTTTGACATGAGCCGGTAACCGTTATTTTTTTTTTCCTGTTCAGTTCCGGTTCGGGTTCATCGCGATAACAATATAACGGTTCGGGTTCGGGTTCAGTTCCGGAAAAAATACCGGTTTGGTTCCGGTTTTCGGTTCGGTTCGGTTCCGATTCGACACCCTGCCTGCACCGTCAATTTATCGCGAGTGCCACGAACGTTTCATTTACTCTAGACTAACAAGCTGACTTTGCCGTTCCTCGTCAGAGGCCAAACTTTGTTACACGGATGTTAATATAGAAACAACTTAGTATTCCCTGGAATGGTACCTTGTATGCACCCGCTCCACAGAGGAAATTATGCGAATGCAGGAACGAATGCCATTGCCAGTCTGACTTCAACACGTACACAACCTAGCGATGATTTCACTTATGCAGACCGAAAAGTTGCGCAAGTGTTAAACCAAATGGGTTGCTCGTTTCTTCCGCATGTTGATACGCTCACACAAGGAGTGTTACGGGGTGTGGACTAAGCAAAGAAATTTCTTTTCAAGATCGTTCAATGTAACGATAAGTGGCGGATTTCATGAATAATATTTGGTGATGATACAAGCTTTTTACGCGATAATAAAGCGGACATTTTTCAAAATGTGGCGTGCTTCAAATTCGTTTTATTTTTTTTTTATTTTTTTTTTTTACGTTGCTAGCCTAGCTTCCACAGTGCTTGAACTCTGTCAAAGCTAGTTGCGCGAGTGCATGCAAATGAGGCGCAAACGACAAAACCACGTGCTTCCGCAGCAATGCGGGACAGCTGCACAGCTACGCGCTAGCTTTCACAATGTAGCACAAAATAGTTTGCGCAGACTATATATGTGTGGACTGGGCACTGGGTGCGGGCTATCTAAAGAAAAAAACTCTTTTTTTCTTCTTTCTCTGCCGAAATTTGCGTTTGCAGACTGAACACCGGGTGAGGTCTACGATCCGGAACGCATACGACGTACGGAATCACGAAAGAAAACAATACGCACAGGAACGACAGCGTCGCCGGACGATGGTTCCTCCGTGATGTCCTCCCCTACCTCCATGCTCGCGTGCTTCCCGTATCTGACCACTGGCGACGTTACAAAGTCGGTCTCGGTGGCCCAACAACGCGCGTGTGGCGGGGGCAGCCCCCCGGGGCCCGACGCGGGGACTCCCGCTCGCTAAATAGAAGCGGCCCGAAATAGTCGCAACCGGTCGCTCCATCCGTGAACGCGAACAAACCGAGCTGGAACCGAGGCGCGCGGTGTCGGAAAACCCGCCGTCCTGCCAGAACGATCACCACCCGGTCGCCGCCGCGTCGACGAACATCGACGACGAAAACGTCCCCGCTCCGTGTCCTAACCAGTCGGGATTTCATAATCTTGTATGTCGGAGGTCGGCAACCTTTTTCGCTGTACCGGGCCAGATCGCCGCAAAGCAGAGTCGGAACGGGCCGGACGGATAACCGGAGGATTTTCGGCCGGTGGAAATCATGCCCAACCAACATCGACGCCTCGGCACATGCAGCTAAATTGAGAATTGCAACTGAACAACTGCAACGTTCGCCCGGAATGTTTAAGATGACGGTCATGGAATATCAGTGAGTATACTAATTAGGCTTTTGGAAGCGTATAATTTTTATTCAACGGCTCTATGCTTTTCTTTTTTTTAATTCAATTTTATGGGCCACATTCAAAAAAATTTTAATTTCTGTGTTTTTTTTTTTTTTTTTTAGAAAGTTACGGATGAGTGTAATTGCCTGGGGATCATAAAGCGAAAATCAATTTGAATTTTGTTTTTTGATTAAAAAACTTTTATTCCATGGAATGTCCCAAAAAGTTGGTCATGAAATGATAATAAAATAATACTAACAAACGCAAGCGATGTGTGCAGATTAAGCGCAGTTTTTCTTGATTTAGGAACAGGTATGCGTAAGATTGCTCGAGACACCTCTTGGAAGATTTGCGTTGTTCAATATCGATTGCCAAGATTGTTCCAACATTGGCATTATTAAAGCTACTAACTCAGAGCAGTAAAGCGTTTTGAAGGTGCTTATTTCTCATTTGCAAACGCACACTTCATTCGCTTCATTCTGGAAAAGTAATAAGAAACGTACGCAGAGCCCGCTGGGTGGTTCGCTTGCTTTTCACGCGTTCCATGTCCTCTCAGTTGGGTCAGTAAGGTAGCAGAGTCCCGGGTTTCGCTTGCCTTTGCTTACTGTATATTCCGACTTTTCATCTCCTGCAGATTGATTTCAGAAGAACAGTTCTCGGTAGTGTGCAATAACAAAAGGCAAAAAAAAAAAAAAAAAAAAAAAAAGTTTGATGGTTCTTTGACTCCCGTTGTCGAAGGCTCCTCTGATGTAGCACGACTGGCTTTCGTTCAACAACCAGGCTCGAAATGTCTGTAAGAGCACCTGTTTATCCACTGAGCTCGTGGATGCATCCTCGGTTGCCGCGTGCTTGATTTGTATAAACGAAGCTCGGTTGGACCTTCCAAGGACCCGTGACATCTGGCGGCGAAGATATATATATATATATATATATATATATATATATATATATATATATATATATATATATATATATATCTGTGTGTGCGTGTGTGTGAGTGTGTGTGCGTGTGTGTGGGCGGTTTCATTTGGATTCACGCAACGAGTGGCACTCGTATTTTTTTATTTTGCTTCAAATATTTATATTTCATGGCGCATGTTCCAAGAATAACAATCCTTTTTATTTTAATGTCCTGACATGTTAGTTTCTGAGAAAACAAAATTTCAAAGAAGCGGGAAAGAACGACGAGGTTTTGACGATTGTCGTGTGTGGCGTTTTTGAATCATTCTTAATGTCAAAGTATTCAAAAGAGAGCGTCTATATTTTTTTAGTGTAATATATATGCAAGTAGGTAAGACGTCATTATAACTACTGTTTATTATTAATTGCTCCAATCTTCGTAAAAATCTCCAAACATGCCTCCGCGAACAAGTGTGACCTAAATTGCGGATTTTGTTTTGAGTCGACTATGTTTAGTATCGCTTTTAAAATAATACCACGTGTAAAACCTTTCATTGTCTTCCACATTATGTAAAGTGTGTGTCTAAATCACGTACGAGTACTGAGAAATAAATTATGAAACAGAAAGGGTTTTCACTTTTCGTTCAATTTCAGCACGCTGTATAAAAAAAAAAAAAAAAAAAAAAAAGCATTTTTTAATTTTTTTTCTCGCGTCACGTTCTCTTTGCGCTCTTCTTTTTAGTTAAAATACATTATTTTGAGGTATTTGCCTCTGTTTTGAGTTTTAAGCCTCTAAATATGCTAAAAAAGAGCAAATGCCGATGGTGGGTTTTGTCGATCTTTCCTGTGGCGTTTTTGAACCACTCTCAATCTCAAAGTATACAAAATAGAGCTTCTATATTTTTTTGTTATTGTAGTCTATATGCAAGTCGGTAAAACGACATTCCAAATACTATTTATTATTCGTCGACCCAATCTTTGTAAAAATCGCCAAAATGCCTCCGCGAACAATTGTGACCTAAACTGCGGATTTTTTTTGTTAGTTGACTATGTTTAGTTTTGTTTTTAAAATAAAACCACATGTAGAACCTTTCATTGGCTTCCACATTATGTAAAGTGTGTGTCTAAATCACGTACGAGTACTGAGAAATAAATTATGAAACAGAAAGGGTTTTCACTTTTCGTTCAATTTCAGCACGCTGTATAAAAAAAAAAAAGAAAAAAAAAAGCATTTTTTAATTTTTTTTCTCGCGTCACGTTCTCTTTGCGCTCTTCTTTTTAGTTAAAATACATTATTTTGAGGTATTTGCCTCTGTTTTGAGTTTTAAGCCTCTAAATATGCTAAAAAAGAGCAAATGCCGATGGTGGGTTTTGTCGATCTTTCCTGTGGCGTTTTTGAACCACTCTCAATCTCAAAGTATACAAAATAGAGCTTCTATATTTTTTTGTTATTGTAGTCTATATGCAAGTCGGTAAAACGACATTCCAAATACTATTTATTATTCGTCGACCCAATCTTTGTAAAAATCGCCAAAATGCCTCCGCGAACAATTGTGACCTAAACTGCGGATTTTTTTTGTTAGTTGACTATGTTTAGTTTTGTTTTTAAAATAAAACCACATGTAGAACCTTTCATTGGCTTCCACATTATGTAAAGTGTGTGTCTAAATCACGTACGGGTACTGAGAAATAAATTATGAAACAGAGAAGATTTACACTTCTCGTTCAATTTCAGCACGCTGTATAAAAAAATTATTTTATTTATTTATTTATTTTTTGCTTCGCGTTTTCTTTACATCTTTCTTTTACCCTGAATACATTCCGTTAGAGGTATATGCACTGGTTTTGAGTTTTAAGCCTCTGAATATGCTAAAAAATGATTCGGTTCTGTTATCAACATGAATTTCGCATTAGAAATATAAAATTTCCCATTTAAAAATCGAAGTTTCCAATAGGAAGTGAATTTTACTCTAATGTTTTACAATATTATACTTTGATATTTCTAACGTAGTACAGATTATGTAGCGCCTAGGGTTTAGGCTTGAGGCCCCTCCAATCATGGCACCGGTGGAAATTGTCTTAAAACCCGCTTTCGGCAGTTGCGATTTTATAGTGTTTAGACGTTTGGCGTTGCAAACTTTTTATTATACGCCTAATTATTATACGCTGGCCAAAATAAGAGTGCAAACAAAAACGCGACGCAAAAAAATGTAATTTTTTTTTTTTTTTTTTTTTACAGCGAGCTGAAATTGAACGAAAAGTGAAAACTTTCTCTGCTTCATAATTTATTTCTCAGTACTCGTACGTGATTAAGACACAAACTTTACATATGTGGAAGACAATGAAAGGTTCTACACGTGGTATTATAATAAAAACAAAAATAAACATAGTCGACAAACAAAAAAATTCACAATTTAGGTCACAGTTGTTCGCGGAGGCATGTTTGGGGATCTTTACGAAGATTGGATCGATGAATAATAAATAGTAGTTGGACTGTCGTTTTACCGACTTGCATATATATCACGATAAAAAAAATATCGAAGCTATATTTTCAATACTTTGAGAGTGAGGGTGGTTCAAAAACGCCACACACGAAAATCGTCAAATCCCACCATCGGCATTTGCTCTTTTTTTTAGCATATTTAGAGGCTTAAAACTCAAAACCAAGGCAAATACCTCTACCGGAATGTGTTCTGGCTAAAAGAAGGGTGTGAAGAGAACGCGACGCGAGAAAAAAAAAAAAAATTAAAAATGGGGTTTCTTTTATACAGCGTGCTGAATTCGAACGAAAACTGAAAACCTTCTCTGTTTCATCATTTCTTTCTCAGTACTAGTACATGATAAAAACACAAACTTTGCTTAATTTGGAAGGCAAGGCAAGGTTCTACACGTGGTATTATTTTAACAGCGATACTAATCATAGTCGACTCAAAACAAAATCCGCAATTTAGGTCACAGTTGTTCGCGGAGGCATGTTTGGAGATTTTTACGAAGATTGGAGCAATGAATAATAAACAGTAGTTATAATGACGTCTTACCTACTTGCATATGTATCACACTAAAAAAAAAATAAAAGATTGAGAGTGATTCAAAAACGCCACACACGACAATTGTCAAAACCTCGTCGTTCTTTCCCGCTTTTTTTAGATTTTTTTTCTCAGAAACTAAACACGTCAGGACATTAAAATAAAAAGGATTGTTATTCTTGGAACATGCACCACGAAATATAAAAATTTAAGGCAAAATAAAAATACGACTGCCACTCGTTGCCTGAATCCAAATGAAACCGCCCATATACATATAGGTGAGGCAGAGTTTGAGAGCAATGGACCGGGAAAATGTTATAAGACAGAGAGATCCGTACTTGCGGAGTTGCTATGCTAGGAGTTTATTGTATGTATTACGACAGTTGCGCCGAGAGGCTCGGCTTCGTGAGGAGATGGCATATATATATATATATATATATATAAATAAAGGGAAGAAAGGGATTGCCTAAGATGTACTCATGTGTTTATTGGACGACGTTCCGAGCGGACTCGGCTTTTCATCGGGATATATATATATCAGTGTGTCGAACCGAAAAAAATACGGGTTCGGTTACGGTTCAGGTTCAGGTAAATTTATTTTGTTCCGGTTCAGTTCCGGTTCGATTAATTCGATCCGCGAAC